ATATAGGGGCAAAGCCTCATTGCCCCTAACAGTGGGGATATATTTTCATTACTGGCCATGGTAAGCCTGGATTATGTTGGGGATAAAAACAGTCCACCCCTCAGGGTCCCCTTGAGGGGTAAGGGCTAGATAACTAAATCAGGGGAATACCGTGCCCATGGCTCCCTCAGGCCGTTCAGGACTGGCACAAAGTCAGCCTTTCATCCTTTCAGCACGGCTCTCACACCTTAGGAGGTGGATAGCAGAAGGGTTTGGTGAAGGGACAGAAACAAAAGTGGGAAGGGAAAAAAAGACCATGCATAATTAGTTGAGTCGAGGGCTGAGTCCCAAGGTTGGGGAGTTCCCCATCATTGGGTCCCAGTCTCCGCCTCCTACGCCCCCCCCCTCCTCGCACTCCCCAAGGGATTGGGGGGGAAAATACAAACAAAGTAAGGGGAATGGGAGTATTATCAATGTATAGAGTATGTGCTGAATATTTTTTGTTCATGAATTGGACAAATTCTAGGTCAGCCACACTTATTCTTAAAAGGTAATTTGCAGTGCAAATGACCCTTTTCTTATAAATTACCTTCCATGAGGAATGATCATCACATGGGTTGTATGTTACACTGAGGGAAAGGCAGAAGATAGCATCTTGAGGAAATGATATGAGTGTAAATAAAACGTGTTTGTTGTTTTTGTATCAATCAAGATGAGTAATATTTTTAAAATCTTTCAAGATTGGAGAAATGTATTTGAATGTTTACTTGAAAGTCAGACAGTTTTTCAGCATGCGACTACAGGTGTAAGTCAGTTTGTTATGATTATGATTGCTTATAATTTTTTTTTATTATGATTACAGTAATGCTAACTTAAAATTAGAGAAATTTGTTTGTTATGATATCAAACATAAAAATCATTATATGAACATTTATAAATGTGTAATTATAATCTTACAAATTTTTACGTGCTAAATATATTTATGATAAGTGATAATAAGTATCAAATACATCTTATTAAAATATGCAATCATGTTCATGAAAACCTGTGTTAAGCCATATCATCGAGACATACGTGTTCCAACTAAAGCTGTTGATAAGAATACACAATAATAGATTGCTAAATTGTTGGCTTACTGTTCTATTGTTCCATATAGAAATGTTTTGTTCAGTAATAAACAGTACAGAAATTCAAAGAACAAGAGAAAATACAAATATTTGTGACACAATTTTCATATCTTATGATGAGTTTTAACATTAATAACTGCCAGTACTGCCAATAGCAGCTGTTTTCATGAAAATGTGCAATACATGTTTGTAAATATTTGTGTATGTATATGCATGTATATATACTTGCATGTATGTACATGAAAGAATATATGTTAATACATGTTTATATGTATGTATACATGTATGTGTTGTATGAATATATATAAGCTGTAACCCTTGTTATACAGACTGCATATGCTTCAGATGTAAAATGTCACATAGATAAAGAAAATAAATAAGTAAATAAAACAACCATTTAAAATAATGCCAAAAGCCCTAAAATGCCACTTTGGAAATTTCACAACTCAGAGGATTATCCAATCTTTTTTCTTTTTATAAGTCCTCAACATTTTGTAGAAATAATCTACCTTATGATGTCTGAGATGTGTTTTCCCTTAAACTTAGAATGGAAAACCTCAGTCCTGTCTCCTAATATGATTGTTTACAATTACAAAGTCAAATATATTATTAGAGAAAAAAATTATTTGCTTTATCAGATATCTATCCAAGATTTAGAGTTTGCCATCTCACTCATGTATTTCTGAATGAAAGGAGTTATATACTATTATATGACTACCCCCCCCCCCCTTGACAACAAGAAGGGAATGGGGGGGGGGGGGTAGGCATATAATAGTATATAACTGCTTTCATTCAGAAATACATGAGTGAGATGGCAAACTCTAATTCTTGGATAGATAATTGATAACAAAGCAAATAATTTTTTTCTCTAATAATATATTTGACTTTGTAATTGTAAAGAATCATATTGATCACACAGTATCTCTTATGATCAGGATTACTGAAATATATTTACGTAAGTGGTTGATTACAATAATTATTATGCAAAAAGAGTAACTGACTACAATTACAGATTATGAAAACCTAATTTCTGGAGACAAGATTCAAGATCAACTTGAATTTCCAAACTCTGACCTAATCTTTTGAGGCTTCTTTTATGTAGTGTTTTATCCTGACACTAGCAACAGAGTAAGGGGATACGTCTTTCAATAAGTTATATTTAAAAACCCATTTTTCTGCAAAAAATAAATAGTAAAGGACAGTAGGTTGAAATAAAGAGCAAAGATTTATATTACAAACAGTTTCTCAGGAGATGAATATTCAATAACTTAAGAATAGAATGTGAAGAATACTAGTTTGTCTTAGTTTCTTATTTTATTCATTTTGAAAAATTATACAATTCTTAAATAGTTTCTTACTATTTATAACAAACCCTTTCAGTTACAGACAAGTTCATACATATAATATTTAAATTTGCAACAAAACTGGATTCCAGCCTTTAAAAAAAAGATAAAGAAAATACAATGATAATTATAAAAACAACTAATGTTCTTGTAAAAAAAGTAATTCTATAATGAAAATAGAAAAAACAACATTCTGCTGACTTTATGTCATGCCTAATCAATCTCAATTTTCACTTGGCTAGAAAAAGTCTTGTGCTTTTTGCCTTTTCGTGGGAGTTGTCAATGAGGCAATGGATTTCAGTGTCTTGGCAGCAGATTTCTTGATGAGAATGGGCGAGGGGGAAGGCTTCAGGACAGGAGCTTTGGGTAACTTGTTGGCGTTGTAGGGTATATTAGGGCTGTCCTTTAAGGTGCGGGCATAATCACTGTACTCGTGCTCCTGGTTGTGCCTCAAGTTGATTTTGATGCTCTTTTCACCAAAGTTGTGAGGGCTCTGGAATGCAATTGAACACTTTAAATGTCTTAAATATTTTAGAATTATCCTCCCTCTCTCCCTCTGTGTGTGTGTGTGTGTGTGTGTGTGTGTGTGTGTGTGTGTGTGTGTGTGTGTGTGTGTGTGTGTGTGTGTGTGTGTGTGTGTCTGCGTGTGTGTGTGTGTGTCTGCGTGTGTGTGTGTGTGTCTGCGTGTGTGCGTGTGTGTCTGCGTGTGTGCGTGTGTGTCTGCGTGTGTGTGTGTGTGTCTGCATGTGTGTGTGTGTGTCTGCATGTGTGTGTGTGTGTCTGCATGTGTGTG